ATTTTGATTCAATCTCCCCCCAAGTTGACCCATCAATATCAAAAGACCCATTAGGGAAAGGCACTGGCTTTTGCCAATTTGCCCCTTTAGCCTCTACCGCATATCCCCTCCCCCGGTTTCAACCTTCTCCTGATAAAGCTGCTGTCTCACATACCTTATATTGCTTCTTTTTCCTTTATTAATTTTTTACCACTCATTTCCATAGGGGGGGGCGGGGGTGTGGAAGCTTAAAGCTTTTACTTGTTTCACGTGAATGGGTCAATGTTTAACTTATTCGGCCTTGGAATTGGATTTCCAGTTGGAATAACATCACTTTTCAGTGTGATCACCAAAAGGGATTGAAGAAAATCAGATATTGGTTCCCTCTTTGTGTTGTGAATTAAGTTCTGATGGACCCCAATAAAGTTCGTGCAAGAATCAAAAAAAATCTAATCAAATTAGATCCATATAACATAAGCTTGTCACTTGTCTCTCCTAAATCTAGCAAATATCATAACAAATGTTTGAATAAGTAATCTGGTACATAAAACTCATACATATTTTTAGTCTAAAAGTTTAAGTCATGTATCATATTACTGATACAATATGTGGCTAAAATTTTCCTTGTGTGGCTTGATTTTAGAGTTATTTTTTTACATGTTAAAAAAAAGTTTTGGAGTTATTTTTGACAATTATCCTTTTAAAATATTTAAAATAACTCTAAAATTAAAATCAACAAATCCAAAATTGCAGCCATGCACGTCATTGTCCAAGTTAGCCTTGAATGATTAATTTGACAAAAAAAAAATACAAATGAAAATACTTTTTGTTATAGCATTATAAATTTAAAATTAATAAATGATATTTCGAATGGCAGAGAGCAACATATACGACCCAAACCTTATGACCAATACTTTTTGTTATAGCATTATAAATTTAAAATTAATAAATGATATTTCGAATGGCAGAGAGCAACATATACGACTCAAACCTTATGACCAATACTTTTTGTTATAGCATTATAAATTTAAAATTAATAAATGATATTTCGAATGGCAGAGAGCAACATATACGATTCAAACCTTATGATCAATACTTTTTGTTATAGTATTATAAATTTAAAATTAATAAATGATATTTCGAATGACAGAGAGTAACATATACGACACAAACCTTATGACCAATACTACTATTTTACTCTCAATTAAACTTTTGATTTGCTCGGCTTACAATTGATTGTGCTAAAAAAAAAGAGTGATATTTTACTTTAAATTTATTCGTGGACCAAAGGGCCTGATGATGATGGCCATGGCCACACTGAAAGATGTGCCCTGTCGATATTGTTTAACATAGAGACATGGATGGTCAGCCATTCATGGATGGTCAGCCATTCCCTCTCCATGTCATCTTTATTGCTTTCTTCCTCCTTTCTTTCCTTTTTTTTATTTTATTATTTTTTATATCTTAGTCTTCCAACAAAATCAGAATGATACCCACAAGGCAATATCCTCACTCCCCTCTCCAATGCCAATGCGTCATAGTGCAGGAACAACCATATCCATATGTACATTTTAACTAGCCAAAAACACGTTTGAGTAAAATCACGAAGCAACTTGTATTCCTCCATTTTTTAAGCTCTTTAAGATCTTCAGAATCATGATTTCCACAAATTTTCCTCTAAATTTATTCTTGAATCTTATGATTGCCTGCGGGATTTCCCCTCTCTACACACACAAAAAACAAAAAAAGAAGAAAGATTTATTTTTCTTTGTGGGTCTAAGACTCTGTGCTTGACAAATATATGCCTAGTAGTTCCAATCGATGTGCTTTCTCCTGCACTTTGGAGGTTTGGTTGAACAAGTTTGAATTGGATTGCGGTTGAAAAAGAGGGAATACTAAACTTTTCCTTCTTTGCCATGTAAATTCAAGCTGGTATAAATGGAAGGTGACATGGATCCCTTTGGCCACATTTTTATGCTACATGGAGAAAGATAAGGAAGATGCGGCGAATTTTACCTTTCTTGTATTCAAAGTTAGCACCAAGTATTTGTGTGGAATTCTGATTTTTGGTTGGAATATTTACCCTAATTTTTTCTCTGATTGGACGTATCAGCAGAAAATAATTCTGGGTGGGAAGAGATTAGAGAGGGAAGGGAAATTAATTCCTCTGCCTCACAATTCCATGAGGGGCCAATTGCCCAAATTCAGAGTTCCTTTTTAGATCCACCGATTTTGCTGATTTATGCCGTCGGCACAACAATGCCCCAGTTGGAAAATATGGACCGCATAGAGACCTTGGACCACGTATCTTGCCATTATCACATTTTAAGTAAACCCCTGAAAACAAAAAAATTACTTTTCCACGCAAAAAGGGCAAAAAATGATATCAGCAAGAGGATTAAACCTCGGATGGTTTCCCGGAAAGGTCAACTGACGTGGCGCAATCTTTGGCGGCCGTACTTGGATCAATGTCCGAAGGATAACGGCCGACGTGGACGTGATGATGTGAAAGCTATTTGGATTTGACTCGCAGTGATTTCTTTCTTTGTACAACTAGAGGGCTGGTACGTCCTTTGGAATCTGATTCTTGATTGGGGTGAATGAACGGCTAAGGTTATAGGAAACAAGCTGCCCTGTTTACAGGCTGCCTTTGAACAAGTCTCCACTTTTGACTATGAATCGTTTTAAGAGTCAGATCGGTAGCCCGTTATTATCAAAATTAATGCATTTGTTAAAACTAGGTCAACAATCAAGTTTGTTTTTGAATTTGATTAAAAGAATAACTTTTTCTTTGGATTTATATAAAATAATGGTTTGATGTTTATGTTTAAAATTTATAATGTCCTGCTTTGACAGTCAATGATTCCATCAATAAATTTGATATACAAATTTTGGAACAATTTTTTTTATATAAAAAAGGCACCACAGTTTGACTTTAAATCTTTATGATCTTTATTTATTTCAGTTGGATCAAAGTAGAACAATTTTATTGTTATGAAATGTACACAGAAATCCTACTTTGCCTTAAAAAAAAAACTATACATAGAAATGAAATTATAATATGTTTAAATTTAGGTAATGAAATGTACATTGACTGGAATATGTAGCACAAAAACTTTTAGGTGACTAAAAAATCATCATAATTTTTCAAATATGATGAAGGACTCTTTAAAATGAATAGTTAAATGCAGATCAAAATTATATAATATATTCTCATTTATTAGGACTAATGAATTATGTTTTCAATAATATCATATCATAATTTGGTAATAATCCAATACAAGACATTTTCTATTTTTTATTTGAAGAAAGTAATCATTTACTTTTTATATTTTTTAATTTAAAAAAAGAATGTTAAAAAAACAAAAAAAAAATCATATCTGATTAAACTTGGACCCCACAATCACTAAAGCAAAGTGTGGTGTTCTCAGCTCATGATTCACAGCCAACGCCTTGAGCAAACCACCTAATGAACGGCTGGATATCAATCATGACAACAAAAAATGATATTCTGAATACAACTGGGCCCCACTTTCCTCCTATAGCTCCTTTTGTGGCGAGCGGACGCCGAATAAAAAAGCTACAGGCGTAATTTAAATCATGATCCCTCAAAATCAGCTTTGTTAAAGAGTAAAATTAGTATAAGTGAATTTACTTTTACGGCGAGCTCACTCTGGGAATTACTGTGATTCCGGAACTGAACAAGAAATTAAATTGTATTGGAATTAAAAAAACACGGTCGGGATAAGCCTTCCTCGTGTTTAAATGTATATTTGTGGGGCCTACGTTGTTTCCCGAGTCTGGCGTATTCATTGCATTGGATTTCTAGTGCATCAAGATATTCAGGTGTTCAACGGATCACCAAATCTCCTTGCTCTCGTCAAATCAAGTCGAGCATTGCAAGGCCGTGTTTGCTTTAAGTCATGATAGCTTTCTCTGCCCTTGGTTTGTTCCTTATTTATTTCTTATCGATTTTATGCCATAAAAAATGTCAAGAGAAATTAGAAGGTTGAGTAAAAGATACAGTGAAAATTTATCATATAAGATTATGTACATTATACAATATAAAGTAATAAGGTAATAATTTTAGCAATATTATTCTTAGTATATGATGACCTTTTGATATGAAATATTTTTACACCGTAGTTAAATTTTAAAAAACGAAATCAAATTCGTACATGCTCATTCATATTTATAGAGATAATATATGTCTGTAGGGGGATATCAGGGGTCTAGATATATGTTAAAAGTAAATAAAGAGATTTACTATATAAAATATAATAGGATAAAGTGACATTTTTACTAGTATCTTCAATTTGGATGATGTTTGTTATATTAGATTATGTCATTATTTTCAATTTTAAGAACATGAGTAGAGGACTTCATGTGTAAATGATGTAAATAGGAATGAGCATGGTTGAAAGGGTATTTTTGAAATCAAGATTTTGAGCCATCTATAGAGAATCGAGTTTAAAAATTTTAGACCATGCCTTCATACATAAAATGATTCTTATAAAAATTAATTTTGAAATTCATACGGTCCAAGGTGACCTTAATTAGATTTTTAAAAATTTAAAATAATGAATTATCAATTAAATTAAGAGATTTTGTGAGTAATCCTAGTTCTTTGCTCACCCCTAAGTGTAAATTAATCGCAAGTTAGTAAATAAAGATTAAAATGGATAACTCCTTTTTTTTAAGGTGTAAGCAGTTTACCCAAAGAGACTAGAGATATTGTATGAGAGTTCCTACCAAACAGGGCCTTATGGTTGTGAGTCCTGACAGGCGAGAACTGACTTGGATTGCCCAAAAGGCCTTACGGTGGATATGCGGGGACCAGCTGAATTTCCCGGTCTCAATCTGACCCGTTTAAAAGGGGGTTTGGAATTTTTCCCCTTTTTGATCATTGATCTGAAAATGGAGGGATAGGATTTAACCATGGTTAGCTCTTTAACCCTAGTTAAAAAAATCTCTAGTTAACCCCCGCCCCACTGAACCCTTTAAATTGAAGTCCTTGCTCCCCTTCTTTCTCATCACCTTTCACGTTTTTCTCCATTGCGTAGTACCGTACTTCACATTGAATGATCCGTTTCACTTCTCATTAGCCGCTCTTTTTTATTCCATTTCTCTTTTTTTTTTGTTCATTTCCAGCTCTCTGAATCTCTGGTACGAATGTTATCTTATTGATTTTGGTTCTTGAGAGAAAATAGGATTCTAGCCTTAAACTATGACTTTCTGAAGATTAGCTTAACGACTGTTTGGCGAAATCTGAGTTGTCATTAGTTTTGGTTTGTTTTTTGGGATAATTATGATAAAAGATAAAAAGGAGAAATCTTCAACAGTTTGCTCAAAGCAGGGCCTATATTTCAGTTTTAACAACTTTTATTTTTCAATTTATAAGCCCGGCAGGTGTTTTCGATAATACTACTAGAGGAAAAAAGCTTATTCGTTTTTCTATTGTTTTTTTGTAGAGAGGAAGATATGGCGGCAAACGCAAATGGAGTGCCGACGCCAAGGAGTCCGTTGGCTAGGATTCAGACACAGAAGAAGCAGAACGGGATCTGTCACGATGATAGTGGGAAACCCGTCAAGGCTCAGACCATTGATGAGCTTCACTCTTTGCAGAAGAAGAGATCTGCGCCAACTACGCCTCTCGAAGGGGCTCAGGGCGCCTTCGCTAGCTTGTCGGAGGAGGAACGCCAGAGGCAGCAGCTCCAGTCTATCAGGTACACGTGCGCATGCGCAACACAGATTATAGAAAGGAAATTATCATTGTCATAAGAATTAGCAAATTGTTATTAAAATAATAAGAAGTTAAGACTATTACCTTAACCGTGGAATTCTTAAATTTAAAATATGACAGGGTTTTTTTGCTTATTCTATTAATTTAATAGATTTTTAAAATATGTTTGACGTGAATATCATGATCTCCTAAAGGCTAAAAAATTAAATAGCCATCTGGACCCCTTCTCCTTTCATTTGGGAAGATCGGACGGCGTAGAAAATTGGTTGAAGACCGAGATTGATCCATCAAGATGGATCTTTGCGGTGTTATTTTTTGGGGCGGATTTGATGTGGGGCCACGTGATTGGTGGGTCAGGAAGGTTGCGATATACAGAAGCTTGTTCGGGTTTCTTCCCTCTTGCTTGGTCCCGACAATCCGATTGAATAAAAGAAATGAAAATGGATGTTATTCCATATCATGATCGAATTACTAAACCGTCCCTGCAAAGCGAAAAATTTTAACAAGGGTAGATCTGTCATTTCGTAGGACACAGATTTGTTTACAATTTCAATTTTTTTTGAACAGTGCATCCTTGGCATCACTGACGAGAGAAACAGGGCCAAAGTTGGTTAAAGGAGACCCAGCGAAGACCCAGGCGGTAGCGCGTGTGGCGCATCACCACCACGTGGAGGCACCAACCATCAGCGTCAGTGACAGTTCTTTGAAATTCACCCATGTCCTGTATAACCTTTCCCCTGCGGGTATAACTTCATCTTTCGCCGTTAAAAGCCTTTTAACTCAATAATCAAGTATCATGACGTAACGTAAAATTATAAAATTATGGTTTTCGAATTGGTGCAGAGTTGTACGAGCAGGCTATAAAGTATGAGAAGGGATCGTTCATTACAGCAACCGGTGCACTGGCCACCCTGTCGGGGGCGAAGACCGGGCGGTCTCCAAGAGATAAGAGAGTTGTTATTGATGACAGCACCCAAGATGAGCTTTGGTGGGGAAAGTAAGTGTCAGATTATTTTTCTTTTTAGTAATTTGTATGGAATTTTGACGCAATAAAAATTTTTGTGCTTGCTCAATAATTAATACTATAAATTAATAATTGGTGAGTACAGGGGATCACCCAACATTGAAATGGACGAGCACACCTTCATGGTGAACAGAGAAAGAGCTGTTGATTACTTGAATTCTCTGGACAAGGTGAACTTTATTTTTTCAGTCTGCTCACCTTTTTGTTCCTGTTAAGAAATATCTGTTGCATAGACACTGTCTCTCCTCTCAAAAAGAGAAAGAAAATGAATAAAACACTAATAAAATAAATGGGAAACAAATTTGAGCATATAAAGTATTATCTCTAAGAATAACAGTAATAGTATTTACTTTTGGGAGATGTTGATGCGGGGGTTTATGGACCCATGGTATCATTTTCGTCTTTTAGTCCAAGTTGTCCTGGGGAGCTCCCTAATCCACTGGGGGAAGCAATTTTGTCTTTGCATGAGTAAATTTTTATTTGTCCTTAACTTAAGGGAATGGCTTACTGGAGAATGGAGATGATGCCTTGTGGGGTCCATATCGAGGTTATGTCCTCCTCGCTTTGTTTTAGAGGCAGGGAGAGAAGAGAATATGTCTCTTTGATAATTCCTGTTTAGTCAATTATATCGATACCATCTAGAATATTATTTTGGTTAATATTTGTTTTTTTATTTCTTCAAAAGTTGTTAAAAAATGAAATTAAATAGTAAAAGATAAAAATAAATTGTCAAAAGCAGATAAATCTTTAAATCTAATAATATACTTGTTCTATATTAAAATAAAATGGTGCATTATTTAGTGCTACTTGGCCCACAGACTACCATCGTATGCAGTTATTTACTGATGAATCTTGATGTATTTGTAATTTCTGATTGATGGTAATTCGATGTAAATGATTTCCAGGTTTTTGTGAATGATCAATTCTTGAACTGGGATCCACAGAACAGAATCAAAGTCCGAATTGTCTCTGCTAGAGCTTATCATTCATTGTTCATGCACAACATGTGAGTAAAAGCTAAGCAATTTTAAAATTTTATCAGCAGTTTTTGTTTGTGTTTTCACAGGTCTAAGCCTATCCCAGATAAGTTTCTTTATCGTTGTCATGATGTTAATTATATGTATCCTGTGTTGAGTTTTATCATCCCTATAGAATTCCGTGGAGGAATAAGGTTAAAAAAAATGGTAAAAGCTTAGTGTACAATTGGATAATTGGGTGGGTGGCAGGTGTATCCGACCCACTCCTGAAGAGCTGGAGAATTTCGGTACTCCGGACTTCACTATATACAATGCTGGACAGTTCCCGTGTAATCGTTATACACACTACATGACATCCTCCACTAGCATAGATCTTAATCTTGCTAGGAGGGAAATGGTCATCCTCGGCACTCAGTACGCCGGGGAAATGAAGAAGGGTCTTTTCAGTGTTATGCATTATCTCATGCCTAAGCGTCAAATCCTCTCCTTACATTCTGGCTGCAATATGGGGAAAGATGGAGATGTTGCCCTCTTCTTTGGACTGTCAGGTATAGTATCATCGGATCAAGGTCTCGATGTGGTGCCAGGCCCCTCACGATATGTGTCCTCTTACCTTGTTCTTGAAGCCTTAATGCATTTGTTTTGAAAAGGCTGTGAGTCCTTTTGATTTGGTTTTGCTTTGTTACTAATGAGTTTACTTCAACAATTTCCTTAATAGGTACCGGCAAGACTACGTTGTCTACTGATCACAACAGGTATCTAATTGGAGATGATGAACACTGCTGGAGTGATAATGGTGTGTCAAACATTGAAGGTGGTTGCTATGCCAAGTGCATTGGTCTTTCAAGGGAGAAGGAGCCTGATATCTGGAATGCCATTAAGTTTGGCACGGGTAAAATTCTATGCCCTCTCTGTTTATTTTACGTGGAATAAGACCATAGTGCTCAGTTTGATCTTTTAAATTCTTTGTTTCTGCAGTGTTGGAAAACGTAGTGTTTGATGAACATTCACGAGAGGTGGATTATGAAGAGAAATCGGTTACAGGTATAATTTATATTATTAACAATCTTGGAGTCTGATATACATCAAAGGTACCTTGACTCCTTAAAGTGGCCAAGGGATAAGATGAACAATGTCTGAGTCATCCTGAGATATAGCTGACTCAAGTGGAACATTTTAGTTTACATTCAGCATTTTCTTTCACATTTATTTAATCTGATTAATCTAATGGCAAATATTCAGAGTCAGCTCATACACTTTGTCAATCGGGTATTTTAGATAAAGAAGATAGAAGTAAACAATTTGTTGACTTTGACAATGCACCATTTAGTTGATGCAAATTGTGAGAGATTTTAGAGGAAATATAGAATATTAAATAGAGTTTTAGAAAATTGGAAAAAAAGAAAAGCATATAAGGAAAAGAAGCTTCCACTGTCAAATTCCATGATGTCAACTATGCGGTGAATCTCAATGACTTGTCTAAACAACCATGAATTCAGGATGGAGGAGGACAATAGAATAATTTGCAGAACATCTGGCAGTGAATCAATTTTAGACATGATATTGGATATAATTTTCTTTGCTTGCAGAGAACACTCGTGCAGCCTACCCCATCGAATACATTCCCAATGCTAAGATTCCATGCGTTGGTCCACACCCTAAGAATGTCATACTTTTGGCATGTGATGCCTTTGGTGTCCTTCCACCTGTGAGCAAGCTGAGTCTGGCACAAACCATGTACCATTTCATTAGTGGTTACACTGCTCTGGTATGTGTCCATGTTCTATTAAATATGGTTTTCTATACTTAACTGCTTATAAAAGGTTTGGAATTTTTTCATCTTGTGACATTGTTGATGATAAATATAGGTGGCTGGCACAGAAGATGGTATTAAGGAGCCAACGGCAACATTCTCAGCTTGCTTTGGTGCAGCATTTATCATGTTGCATCCTACTAAGTATGCAGCCATGCTAGCTGAGAAAATGCAGAAGCATGGGGCAACAGGATGGCTTGTCAACACTGGCTGGTCTGGTGGAAGGTAACCGAAGTTATTATGAATTGTTTTGGAACTACATTTAACATTTCACCGGGGAAAGTTGAATAAAGTAATTGGGGTTTTGCTGCAGCTATGGCTATGGAAGCCGTATCAAGTTACCATACACCCGAAAAATCATTGATGCCATTCACTCTGGCAGCCTCATGAATGCAACTTACCAGAAGACTGATGTGTTTGGGCTAGAGATCCCCACTGAGATTGAGGGAGTGCCTTCACAAATCCTGCGTCCAGAGAACACTGTAAGTGGTCCATTCCTTACTTTTTCAGTGCATAGTGTCGGCCAACCCGTTTGTTCAGTAGAGTTACGCGAACTTCTCTCAAAGTTCAATGTAATTGGTTTTTTCGATTGCAGTGGGGTGACAAGAAGGCATACAAGGACACACTGTTGAAGTTGGCTGGCCTGTTCAAGAAGAACTTTGAGACCTTCACAAACTACAAGATTGGCAAGGACAACAAGCTGACTGAGGATATCCTCGCAGCTGGTCCGAACTTTTAAATCAGGACCAATGAAGAAGGGAAGAAACTGTCGTTAGCTGTTGTGCATAAATGATCGAAAATGTGAGAGAAATAAGAGTTTGCTGGTCATTTATGGGGTCCGTATTGATATGTAAAATGGTTTCTTATGTCAAATCGTTTATCCCTTTTCTATATGAAGTAGACCTTGAGCTGACTTTTCCGCTGCCTTGATCTACTCTTTACTTTGGGATTAACCATTCCACCATTCAGGCTTTGATACTGAAATGGTTAATTGCTTAAAAGCAAGGAAAATGCCCTGCTTTCAGTTATAGCCGGGCTGAGCCCATTCTAAGACACGTTCAAAAAAGTGAGGGGAATAAATCAAAGTTAGAAAGAATTATTCGAGTACTCGACACTTTAGCTTTTAGTTTATCACATAGATTTATAAACTTGTAGTCGAATCGTTAGTGCATATGTCATGTTAATCCAAACAATTAAAAAGAGAAAAAAAAAAGGGCGAGATAAGCTGTTGAGTGTTCAATGCTTGCCGATAAGTACCCTCTAGTCTCTGTTTTCTGTGCTTAACTACTAGTACACTCAGCTTTTGATTACCTAGACATGGTTGCCTAATGCCTATGCCAAGGACTTGAGGATATAGTTTGTGTTCAATCATTTCACCAGAGCAAGTCATTCGACCATGGAGGCTCTTTTACGTATGCTATATAAAAGTGTGGATTATTTCTCAGCTACGAAGTACCAAACATGTATAAGAAAGCGAGGCATAATTCAAAATAAGTATAGTCTGCTGGGAAAAAATAATATACAGTCTGGATTCCTGAAACATTCAAGGAACAAGTTTCCATGCTAGATGCATAATTTGATCATTTATGTAAGGTCGCAAAGACCACATCAGGGAGTAGCTCTCTAGTTCTCCTGATGATGACTTGACATTTAGAGAAGTAACGATCTTATCCTGCATTAGAAGGGTGGTATTTTGTCATTCTTCTGTGCAAAAACGACAAAAAGAAAAAATGAAATTGCCCCGGGACTTTATCTCCGAATGATAGAATGGTTTCTCTCCATATCAAAGTAGAATAAATCTGGAGCAGCCCATTTACCTGCATCACATAGTCCTGCTTCACCATACTATAAATGATCCCCATCAGGGCAGCATAATCTGTCACTTCAGGTTCTCGAAGATGAGATGGAGCCATTTCACCCTAAAGGAAAAAAGGACTTTCAGCAAGACAGTTAACTTTCACTAGCCAATTGCAGCAGGCAGACAGAAAAAAGAAAACAGAGTATGATCACTATAATAATAATAATTAATAAAAATATACCTCTCCTATCTTTGGTAGAATGATCACATTAATAATAGCCGAACATTTCTCTAGCAGAAAATAAATATTGAAACACAATAAATTTATAAATCCAAAAACCTTGCCTTAAAGTCACTATTCTTGTTGGAAGTTTTACAATTCATAGTTAGGTGGTCCAATGCAAAGTTACATCAATCATAAATAGGAACATAAAAGTTTTGCCAGCATAATGACATTGTGAAATAAAATCTGCAAAAACTTTGTGAATTAGTGTATGTGCTGAAATTGGTAATCATCATCACGAAATCTGCTCTAAATAGAAAGAGATTTAAGTAGGAAGTACAACAAAGGAAGACAGTATTTGCAGCAGGCAAAGACTTAAATACTCATAGGCCAAAACGGCAGGTAAAATGAAAATGTATGCATTGTGTGAAAGATGAATAGAGTAAAGAAACAACTAATCATATATTTTGGAATGAATAGAAAGAGTTGAAGTACAAAACTGACCTCACCACTCCTTTCTTGTAGGTCTAGTCCATCAACAGGTTCCTTGTCCAACAAAGGAGAAAAATGTTCATTTGCAGTTTGCAACGCAGCTCTGGCATCCTCCAAGAGAGATTCAAGATCATTCAGTATGCTTTTGACTGCACTCCATGAGTTGTTATAACATAACATTAGTTTCAATAATCACCTTATATACACACATTCAGAAAATTGCAAACACTCGCATCCTTCAAAAACAAATTAGATAGAACATTTACAATTGCAAACAGAATGTTACCTTCAATTAAGTGATCATGTAGTCCAAGTAGGCTTGTATGTACTTCTGATACGAAAGGGCACCATGTAAGAAAAAAAGCCATATGAAACAAGCATATCAAGAAGGATAGGTACAAAATAAATTACTACCAATTCATTGGAAAGTGGAATGAAAGCATATGATAGATAATCAGGAGTTTTATTCCCATAGATGAAATTATTAAGTCACGTACCTTTTAGTCACTTTAACAAATTATAGCATGAGACAGTAAGAGAGAAGATAGGAATTAAGGTACTCATTGTTTCCAAAACATCAACCAAACAATGCTTTACCTTTGAAGACAAAAGGAGCTTACACTTGTTCATATTTTGTACACTGTCATGACTTTTAATACAACCAGCTTGAAGGTATGATTTCAACCTCTTTGTTTCGTTAGCTTTAATAATGTTTTCAATCAACTTAGATGTCGTGTTTATTGGAGGGCGTCGAAGAAACTCTGCACAGAGGATTAAATAAACCATCACTAAGAAAACAAGCAAGGAACTCCATCCATCCTACCAAATGTAATGACCAACAAACATAATGCCAGTTTCCGAAGCACCCACCCAGTCCTTGCTGAAAGCCAGTTAGTAGTCTGCCTCCGACAGCCACCAATTCATCAAGCTTTGCCACACTGCAATGACCCGAAACACCATGTAAAGATAATGAATTCAAATAGCAGTTCCACGAAAACCCAACACTTCATAACTTCCAAGTTTCTATAGAAAACGAAAATGCTTTCTTAAAAAGTGAATACAACTCCATGCCAAAGTGCCCATATAAATGATTCGAAAGCAAACTAAGGAATGAACAACAACAAAATCCAACGTCCAAAGACAAAATTTTATGTTTCTTGTTACCTGGTCAAAAAATCTTTAAAAATCTGGACAATTTTCTCCTTTGTTTCACCTTTTAATTTTTCCTCTTCTTCACCTTCCATTCCTGCAGAGAACAACTACATCCAAAGAGCAGTCACCAATGAGATTAAGAATGTAAACCAAAACAAAGAAAAAGGGTACAAAGCACCATATTTGTTTAAACATATTATCGAACATCTTCCTTGCACTGCTCACTTACCTTCTTTAAACACCAGAAATATTTGATTTTCAAAACTAAAAGATAAATTTTTTGCTATACAAAATACTCGTAATGTTCTTTGGGTCTAAATAGAATAATATATCTTACAGATTACTAACAAATACTATGAAATATTATTCCCATAAAAGAATAATAAAACTTACCTGGATTTCTGTTTTATGCTGGTTTATTTCGCGCCTCTGCTGCCCAGACGGTTATTTTATTATCAGTAACAGCAAAACGCACCGTTTGCTGGTTTTGAGCTTCCCCACAGGCGTTTTTCGTCCTTTCAGTGAGTCAAAACGGGCGTGCTTTGCGCCGTATCAATGTCTGTTTTTAAGAAAAAAAGTTAAAACTTGAAATGCGGCCTTGCCTTCCCGGTTCCATTTTAGAGTCACTCGACCTATTTAACTCACTCAGGAACTCGGAAAAGTATGAACTGATATTATACCCCCAGGCGCACGATAGAATCTGTTATGGGACCTTCCGTTTTCCTCCAATACTTAAGCCTATCGTGATCTCAAATCTCTATCATAGTAGTCCCTCAGATCTTTGAACCTTGCTCTCTGTTTGTTTTCTCTCTCGAAATCTTGCCGTCTAGGTATTGCTCTCTCGAAGCGCCTTTTTAAGTTTTTCGCTTAAAAGATCGCCGGGTTTCGTCGATTTTCGATTAATTTCAGGTACTGTATGCTGATTCTTATCAGATCTATAAATTTCGTTTGTTTCTGTATGTTTTTTGGTTTTTTTTACGCTTTTATACCTCTTTTTAAAAGCATTTGATCGGGATTGAACAAATCGGTGTTACCGAGTTTTATCGATATTAAACCAGATTTTGATGGATTCGTTCGGAGATTTTTTCAACTTTAGTGTAATTGGTAGTATTTTTGAAAAAAATTAGGGTTTACTTTGCGTTTTTCATTGAAAATGGAATATTTGTCTAATCGTGAATTCTTCTGCTGATTGCTGCGAATCTAGATTTCATCAATTGCTTCTAATCGTTTTTGCTTCCGATTAATTTTTAATAGGAAGATATGCTATTTATCATCTTTCAGAAATCTGCAAAATTGAGGATAATTAATTGCGAAAAAAATGAAAATATAGTTCCTAAATGGGGCAATTTAATCCAGATTTGTCTTTCGCTTGTTTTTCTTTGAAATTTCAATTTTTTTTTTGTTAAATGAAGAATCTGTGTTTTGATGTTGCAGGTGTCAAGTATTTTTGGATTGTTGCTTGTCTGATAAGTTTATTCAAGAAAATTAGTTTGTACGAAACTCATAATCAGCAATGGGGGGATATGATAGAGAGGTAAGTGGACCAAGGTTTGTCAAGTGTGGACTTTTTGCTGTTAATGTTTTAAAGTTTTTTTTTTTTGACTCTGCTGGTTTTTCCTATCTAGGAAGTTGATGATTATGATGATTATGACATGGAAGGTGAATATCAAGATGAAGATGTTGAGGAAGAAGAGGGGGAAGAATATGAAGAAGAGGAAGCTAGGCAACCTACACAAGAAGAGATGGAATATCTAGAGTTAAGGCAGCGGCTGAAAGAATCTATCAGACGAAAGAGGAAACAAAGTGGTGCTGGCCTTTCTTCTCAAGAGAAAGAGAAGAGGCTTCCATATGACAAGTGAGTAATGGGCTTCTTTTTCTTGAATTATTTGCCATTAGGGATATTCTATGACACTTGGATATGTTTCTGGATTCAAGTTTTATCGAACATTAAGATGCCTTTTTTCTATGCTGTATAAAAGTTTTAAAATGTGTCTATTCCAGGTTTACATAACCCTAAGGATTCTAATTAAGTTTCTAAATGTTGTCATCCTGCAGCTTTGGTTCCTTCTTTGGCCCTTCTCAGCCAGTTATTGCTCAAAGAGTTATCCAAGAGAGCAAGTCATTATTAGAAAACCAGCATTTGGTTTCAAAGATGTTGAGTTCCAGTCAATCTGTAAGTATTATTTGTCTTTGTTTCTTTTTTGTTTTTGGTTTTTATGCTGAGTTCTTGTTGCCGATATTGTCTGTGTTCAATGCTAGTGATATATGTGGTTATGCAAACTACAATATGATGAACCCAGTTAGCCACTGTGGTAGTCACTTGTTCCAGTAGATACTGCTATAATTTTTTACTGTTTAAAAACCTACAATAAGTTTTGAAACTGACCAAATTACGTTTGCTTCCATGTAGCATGCGTGCCAAGTGTTTAGATATAGAGTCAGGTTTTGTTATTTGCGAAGAGATGTCTTTCAAGACCAACTCTGCACCCTTTTCATGTATGCCCATGATATTACTTGTTGATAGAATTGAAAGTAAAGAAGTTTGTGTTATTTGAAGTTTGAGGCCATATAGTACCTCTGTGTCGATATGTAGTTTATATTCTGAATTGTTTTTGTGAAAATTGCAGATTGAATATATTCCAAGTTATATTTGGTCTTTGAATAATTTTTACTAACAAACTTGTGATCTTGTAGAGTAAAAAGAACTCTGTTTCAAACAGTGCTGGATCAAAGCTTGGACAACGTGGTCAGGTACCCAAAGCTACAAGTGAGGTATTTTTCTGAGCACTGACTTCTAAAGTTGGTATTACCTTTTCAAAGACCTCTGGTCTGTGATGATGAATGTTTTCAATTGCTGGACTTTTGCAGCTCAGAAAGAAAGTTGAGAAACTGAAGGTTGCAAGAGATTACTCATTTCTATCAGATGATGCAGAGGTTCCAGCTCCTCTGAGAGAGCCTCCACCTCGAAATGTTAATGTTCCAACCTCTGGTAGGTTATTACTTCGCGGCATCAAATCTGTTTTTTGATTCGTGAAGCTTAAAACATAGATAACTTATACAGGTTTTTTGCTGATTTTCAAGAGGCACGATCAGCTCAAATGCCGCCAAAAAGCAAACCACCATTGGGCAGCAACAGCAATAATGGCAGAAATGTTCGAGGCATCCGTGAAGAAAGGAAACCAGTTCCTTTGAATGGTCAAATGCATTCTAAAGCTGGTTCCTACAAGTCTTCTGCCAGTAAACCAAATGTGATATCAATGGATTCCAAAAAGCAGCTTGGTGTTAATAATGGTATTGGGCCTGGACGGCCTGTTGGTGTCAGCAATGGTATCGGGGCAGGCCGGCCTGTTGGTGTTAGCAATGGTGTTGGGCCTGGCCGGCGTACTGGGCCTAAAGCTGTGCCTTTGAAGATGCCTATTGCAAAGATTGAGAAGAAGATTTCTGGGCCAGCTGCTAGGAATTTGCCACCCAGTGCACAGAAAGCACCCTCTTCAAAGATGCATTCATCTGATTCAAAACAGCACTTACAAATGAAAAAGGGATCACAGGAACGTAGTAAGGATAAAATCATGCCCCAGAGGCCTGTGATATCATCAAAGCCTCAGGTTTTAGTCCTACACAAATACTTATGCTTCTGTTGGTATTTTTAGTTTACACTTTTTAGTTTTTATTTACACCCTTTCTGAAATTTTACAGGTAAACAAGCTAGTCAAGCAAGTTTCATCTCAGTCTCACACTACGTCAAATGTTCAGCGACCCAAGAAAAAGCAATTGAGTGAAGATGAAAAGGCTCTAATGATGATCAGAAATATGTTCCAGTAAGGCCTCTCTCCTTTATGCTTCTCCCTTGTTGCCCCTTTGTTGAAACATTATGTTTTTTATTCTTTTTGTTTGGAATACTCTTCACATTTAACGATATTGGTTTTAGAGATTGAAAAATATGGTAGCCAAGTTTCTTTGCGTATATGAGCCCACACTCGTGCCAATATGCCATAAAATGGGCTCTGGATTTTTGTTAGCGTGCGAGTATATATAATTGAATGAACTGGATGTAGATTGGCTTTATTTTTGGTTTTGGGGAGTAGGAAATGACTTTCTGTTGCTTTTAATAATTTGATTTGGATGGTGCAAAAATTACTTTTTCTGATTTTAACAAGTATGACCCTTTTGCAGCACCGAGAGATATCCGGTTTGTGATGATGATGATGATAGTGACATGGAGGCAAACTGGGACGAGATTATGAAGGAGGAAAGAAGAAGGTGAGTAAAATTTCCCAAATTTCATTTATTAGGTAAATATTATGTAAGCATTTTGCATGTAGAGAACTGTCTCAATGAACTCCTCTATGGAGATAAATGTTTGAAAGTGCATGTAATGTCTAATTTCCTGCATGTATCTCATTTATTTATTTTTTTACAGTGCTAAAATTGCAAGGCAGGAGGACGAAGAACAATTGAGGCTAATAGAGGAAGAAGAGCGGCGGGAGCGGATGAGGAAGGTGGCGAAAAAGCGCAAGCTGAGCCAGCACTGATTGTATCCGCCCCCCTTTTAGATCTTATATTCTTAGTTCTCAACTGGGGACTTGTGCCGAATTGTGACTGGTTCTTCTTTAATTTTAGAGGAAAATTTTTTTTTGCAAGATATTCCCCACAAATCTGGACGTCTCAATCATTTTTTTTTGTGTGGGAGGGGAAGGGGAGTGGTTAGTTTAACTATCTAATTTTCCTAAATTTAAGGTCATAAAATATTTTAATGTAGCCATGTACAAAATTCGTGTCCATTTCCTCGACTCTATAATGTTACTGTTTGTGGGCCCTGTGTCATTATCTGTGAGCGAACTAGTTAAATAATTTGATTATTTAGATAAATGTTAAAAAATGCAAAAAAGTTTTATAGATAAAAATAATAGCTCGATGGCATTCCATTCTAATTTTAGATAAATAATTAAAATATCTTTAATTTGATGAGTTGGGTTCTCACACAAACCAACTCGATAAAGAGAACCAGACCATTGGTTTTAATTAAATATTACACAAACTTGGTAAATTATTCAATTTCTTAAAATTAAAAATGCATTATTTATGCTTCCAGATAAAATCCACAAAGTGTATCAATTCCGCGAATGTTTATTACTCCAATCCATTAAAAAAAAAAAAGGAAAAAGAAAAACTCGATTTAATATATCAACGAACAAAACTAACCATTCCTTTAGCCGTTAACAAAACAATATCGTTTTAATATTAGTTTATTGTATTTATTTAAACAAAAGAGTATGAAATCTTAGCACTGCTCTCTCTCACTCGTACGCGCCCGAGGATTTGGGGATGTTAATGGCAACTTCGATAAGCCCCGCGATCCCTTCTTCGCCTTCTCGTCGCTTCTCGATTCTAACAACGCCTAACGCTAAATTCGTTAAAGTTCCCGCACTTTGTTGCTTAAGGTAAAATCAAAATTCTATAATTTTTTCAGCAGTATTTTTTCTATTTGCGCTCTTTCAATTAATGTTTATTTTTAGGAAGAACGGTGAAATCAATGGCTTATCTAGAACCCCTTCACCAATGGAGTGAGCCTCGCCTTTCTTCTTGCTTTTTTCAAAAAAAAAAAAAATTGAATATGATTGTATCTCAAGTATAGAAGTTGTTAATTTCTTTTTTATCTACATTTTAGCTCTGGAGGTCAAAACGATGGGGAAATGTCACTGGTAAAATTTTCTTCCTTTCTTTTTTTATTTTTAATTATTTGTATTCTTTTAGAAGTTAATAAGTTGTAAAAAAGTAATGGCAATTCAATTATTATGCTTCGAGTTAGAAATATAATAATATATTTTGTTTTTGAAAATGCGAACATTTTTAATTAATATATATTTTTTTAAAAAAAATTGTTTGGTAACGGAAGGAAAACTCAGACATATTGTATCGATAATTCCATTTTCATGGAAGGTTTTGCTGTTTGTTTATAGGAACAGTCTTCCAATGTTGAACTGGAAATGAAAAATAATGAGATATGGCGACTATTCAAGGAAGCTCAGCAGAGTAAGTCTCCGTTTGACTGCCAAATTAATTAATGCTCCTCTTTTCAATTTTTCTTTAAGTGTTTTTACTCGTGTTTTTTTTATTATTTTAGATATTTTGTATTTGAATAAACAACGGCTCAAGGCTGTCGAGGAGCTGAATGAAGCAAATAGGGAGAAACAGCTATTGGTAGATAAGATAGAGCAACTGGAGAAAGAAACCAGAAGAGCCAGTGGGAAAGGTGGTAGCACTTTGAACTTGGCTTATTGTTGTTGCAACAGTTAATTATGGTTTGCTATAGTTTCATAGAAAGTCTCACAAAATTCGGGCATGTGTTGGTTGCAATTTTAACGTTTCGTTGAGATTTACTCCTTTTTTAGCTGTGTTTGGCTATTGCCAAAATGATATTGCTGCTGCAACTATGTCTGATACTTTCATAATGTTATTCTATTTGCTTGAAACTGACACATCTCAAGTCTGTTTGAGCTGTCAAAAAACTTGAGAAAGGCTTTCAACATGGGCTGCCTTTAGTTAGTTAGTTTAGGACTTCAGGTTGTCTCAAAGGCTTCTTTCAGATGCTTAAATTTCGCCTTTTTTTTTGGCCATCCATGTGAAAATATTATCAGTCGAATGCTATTAGTGAGGTTGCAAGAGTATCATGTATGCATGTTTTGCCTGAGAGGGATTAATGTTCATAAGTTTTGTGTTGGTCAAGATTTTAATTTTCCTTGGACTTCGTTGTATGAGGTAATGTGTTTTAATATAGGAAGTCTTGATCTTAAACTAATTACTAGTTCAAGTTTAACAATGTGATTCTCAGGTGTCCTTATTTGAGCAGATAATCTAGCACTGTGCTGGGCATTGTTGCTTCGGATAGACGCAATGGTCCTAGGTGGAATGATTAGCCCTGCAGAGGCAACTGATTTGAGAAGGATGGTCATGGATAGAAAAGTTAGTGTAGCAAATGTATTCTCAGACATGCTGCAGAAAAGAGATGCTGAACTTCTTGCAGAACTCCGCCACTTCTCTGAAGGAAGCAAAAAGTAAAACTGTCCTGTAGAAATTGCAAAAAATTTACTTTGACATGAACACAAACACTTGGCAGTTTTATAACTACACTCTTGCTATGTGTAAAAGTCCAGGCTGATTTCTACTTTTTCTATTTTTCATTGAGGATTATTAATTGGTTCATTTGATTTCTCTGGTTTTAAATATCTAGAACTGCATATATAAAAAAAAAAAAACTTTTGCTATGCATGAACTTTTTTGCTGGAAACCAAGGTACTGCAACACTCTGTAAATAATGACGGTGTCTTGTGAGTTATTGTCACCATGCTGTTCTTGCTGACAAAATCTTACTTCATAACTGGGGGTTCTGCATTCTTTTGGAGGTGAAAAGTTGTGTTTCTTCGGAATCATGAGTCTTTCCTTTATGATATCTATATCGAATTGTTGATTCTACCTATTTCTTTTTATCAAAATCGTTTTTCAACTTATGATTATTTCCTCTTCTAACAAATATTTTATTTGTTACTAATACAGGAAAGGTTTTCACATCATTCACATATGTACTGAAATGGAACCATTGGTCTCAATTGGGCCCTTGGCACCATACATAACTGGCTTATCTTGTGCACTGCAAAGAAAGGGCCATTTGGTGGAAGTTATTTTGCCAAAGTAATCAATGGAACTTGTCTCTTTCATTAACTGAAGTTGCTTCGTAATATATGTAGTTGTGTATATCTAGACCTCATTTTTCATGTTAATTTACGAATTTTATGAATGCCATGGTAATAATTTCTTTGGCTTGCATTCTAGTGGAAAGTGAATGAAAGAAAGATCTCCCTGGTATTGGTTCTACATGTTGTCTGTGCATCTGAACAAATTCTTGAGACACAAATTCAACTTTAAGCATTTTTCTACCTTTCTTTAGGATTATATTGACCTTGAGTTTTCTAATGAACTTTGATGTTAGGTCATCTTAGACTATTCATAGGTTAATAAATCTTAAGAAACATGTTCGGATTATTTTACTCATAAATAAAACAGGAAATCTCCTATCTCTCCCCCTCGCTATGCCTGCACACATGCACATAGACACTCTGTTTTACTTACTAATCTATAGGGAGAGAATGCATGTGCCTGACGTATGCCTTCACCCTAATAATTTGCATCAAAAGACAAATATTATATCAGATATTTTCTCTGCCATTAACTTTCCAGCCATGAACTGGATTATGAAGCCAGTTTGTCTAATAAATTGACACAAAGGATATTGCTTTTTGGTTAGGTATGCCAGCCTTGACCTGGATGAGGTTCAGGGGTTGCGAGAAATTGAGGCAGAGTCTTATTCATATTTTAATGGCGAACTGCATGGAAACAGAATCTGGACTGGGTGAGTTCTGGTCATTGAAAGTAGGGTTCCATTGATAAAAACGGAAAAAACTGGGGTGTCAATTTCAAATTGGCATTTTCTTTGGCTAATTGCAACTGCGAAGTGAGTTAAATGTTTTCACAATCTCTAACTTAATTAAAAAGCTTAATTATCTCACTTTTTCTGCCTATTATCCAGGGTTGTCTATGGCATTGGAGTTACTTTTATTCAACCTTTATATTTCTCATCTTTTTTCAACCGAGACAGGATATATGACTATCCGGATGACTTTGAACGGTGAGTCTGCTTGTCTTGCTACTTGTTTTTTATCATCCATTTTGTTTGTCATTTTTCTCTCTAATTCTTTGTGCTTGTGGAGACCAAGTGAAATTATTCTTGTTTCTTTTAAGTTTTTTTTTTTTCTAAAAAGCCTTGTTTCTTTTAAGTTGCTTGTCATTTTGAGAGACTGAGATTAATAAATTCAGTTATTTGATGTGTACAAGTAGAGTTCTTCTGGTCAGACAAAATTGCTTGACATAAATGTCTTTGCTCAGGCATAGGCAAATTATGGGCATGAGATAATAATAATTAAAAAATGTCAAGCACTGGAATGACTAACTTTCAACAATTATAAGTTTCAAATGCTATAAATAGTATGATGAGATTGATCAGAGAAAAAGATGTTGCATCTCTGTTCAGTTAGGTGCAAGGTTTGTTGAATCTTTTAAAGGATATATGTTGAAAACAACCTGCTTGTAGGTCTGGTATCTGTTGCAGCCTGCTCTAAGGGGTAGCACAAGTTGGTTCCTGTTGCATTTTACTGGAAGCAATGGTACATGCAGTATTGACAGATGCATAAATTTTGAACGAATAACCTTAGAAATTCATATTGATTGGTCATGCTATTGAGGCAATCATATTTGTACTTGACATAGTTCAGATCACCTGAATCTGCCTCTTCAAGAAGCAAACCATATTACTCCATCTACTAGTTTAGTTGTTTCTTATGGACAAACACAGAGGTAACTCTAGTTGATACCGTGAATTAGATGGTAATTGACTGTTCTTTTTGTTGATGTGGCAGAAAATATAGGTTGTTTGAGCTTCCAATCTAAAAGGGCTGTATTTCCTTTTGCATATGGAGAGGAGATTGTTCATGAATAGGAGATGATAAGCCATTATGATGTCACACTTCCTAAAAAGAAGCTTATATTTTACCCCTTTCATCGCCATTCCGACTATTGTTTGTTAAACTATGACCATTTAAAAAAAGTCAGTATTGCGCAGTTTGAGAGGCTCAGCATTCGGAATAATTTTGTTGACATTCTAAATCATTGTTAGTGGACTATATTTGTCCACCTCTGTTACGAATTTGACTGGGTATTTTGTTCAAAATTTTCTAATTAACTTATTGTATCATATATTCACATCAATTTGTTTGGATTGTTTCATGATGTTTTATCCACTTTATGCATTCAGATTTACCTATTTCTCTCGTGCTTCATTGGATTATATAGCAAAATCTGGAAAGCAACCTGATGTGTTGCACTTACATAATTGGGAGACTGCTATTGTTGGACCTCTTTTCTGGGATATTTTTGCTAAACAGGTGCATCTTCTTGCTCTTCCTTAGAATCATATTGAATTGTACAATTTCCCATTCCTGCATTATGATAGGCTTTACATTCTATGCCTTTTGGCATCAGTAAAGTCCTTGTCATATGGCTTCCTTTCACCACATGCAACTTGCTGGAATATACACTCAAGTGAAAAGTGCTCCAAAGATAAAGGTAGTTCTAATGATGCACTGTGTGGATGATTTGGTCCTGTGGCTTCTCCTATTTGCAGACTTTTTCCTTTTCCTTCTAAAAGAATTATTTTAACCTGGTCTTAATTCATGTGACATGAGTGATGAGTGGATAAGGTAAGAGGTAAGTGGTGAGCCAAGGAAGGAGGTTGTGGGAATTCAGTAGGGTTGTAAAAACAAATTCAGACAGATATGTTTTTTAATTAGTAGTGCACTTAATAACCTGTCCTTCTACCTGTAAGATAGCATTTACCGGCAGCCATGATTGTGAGAGGTGGGACACACTCAAGGCCATGAGGCTGAATCTGGTCGAAACTTTTGGAACTCATCAATAGCCTTGTACAGTTCATTTCATTAAACTTCTATTCGGCAAAACATATTTCATTCCGCTATTTCATTTTGATTTGGGAGGAAAAAGTTCTGATAATTGATGTGATTGCATCCAAGATTGCTCTTGCATGATGTGGGACAGTTGACTTTTGCTCTGTCTTTATTGCATACTTCTCTTGAGAATTTTTAACATAAATGAGGAAGTAATTGCAGCAAAGTTATAAATTGTGGAAAATTGGAAATCATAGTCACCTCTTCTTTTCCTTGATATTGTATGTACAGGGGCTGGGAAATACAAGAATATTATTGACATGCCATGGCCTTGACTCACAGGCAAGTTACTATATTCATTTCCTCTCTAGCTTTACAGTTTTCATTAGGTATGCTGACCTTGCAAATTTTTTTCAAATTTAAAATTTTATTTTACCTGCTGTTAGTTGTTAAATTTTTAGTGTCTCGAGGAACCTGATAAGCTAGCACTATGTGGACTCGATCCTGGTAGACTTCATCGCCCCGACCGTTTGCAAGATACTGCTAAGACACATCTTGTGAACATTTTGAAGGTAAAGGGTTCTACCTGTCGAATAATCTCTTTCTGCAGTCTTCATACACATTGAGCTTTCAATGCCCTGAAACCATTTGGCTTAGGTAGTGTCAAACTATTTTTGGAACAAGTTGCAAGGGCTGATGATACCTTTTCTTCCTTCTTTTAACATGTCTAGTAAGCAGACTTAGTTCTCTACCTATGAGCCTGGCATCCAAAACCAACTTAGAAAATTGTTATAATGAATAATGAGCTCCGTTTATCAACTTTCCATCTTATCTTTCTATGGGCTCTCAATTTCAGCAGCTACGTGCTTATTTGATATTGCATTCCTTGTTTCTAAGTCCATAATGTGCTAGAACAATTTGACTACTTTTTATTCTGTCCGGCACTGAGTATACTATCTGCACTTTGCAGGGTGGGGTAGTTTATTCTAACAAAGTTGTAGTTATGTCATCCATGGACTCCAAAGGAAGGATCATTCGCAGTAGTCATGGATTGGAACATACCTTAGCCCTTCACAAGTAAGAAAAACTCATGCTGTTTTCTGCACTCAAATCATACATATTTGACCGTGTATAGCTTGGTCTTCCCTTCTTTTCCTATGTAAAGGGTCCTTTTGATGTGTGGTGAGGTAGTGTCACTAAGGGGTTAAACAGAGTAAAGTAGGAGTGCCAGAGAAAAGGACTTGAGCTGGTCTCTGGAGTATGGAGTGCCATGGCAGGTGGAAAGATCAACAAGGTAAAGTGGGAAATAGTATAGAGGAAGCAAGAACAAGAACTTGGTGTGGCACACTGAAGTGGGAAGCAAATACTTAAGAGCATCATGGAAGTGAGAACAAGAACTTGGAGTGGCACATGGAAGTGGGACGCTTAATTGGAGCAGCGTGGAAGTAAGAACAAGCCCTGTGTGCAAGGAAGCTCCAGTCCTCCTCTTTTCCATTCCTACTTCATCCTTTTTCACCCCTTCGTGATGCTACCTCACTGCACTTCAAGAGGACCCTTCAGACTCTGCAACCTGAAACGAGGCAGAAATCTCTCCGGTTCAATTTGAGAAACATTATATTTCAATATATTTATTCCTGTTCTTCTGGTTTGTGTTTTACCAAAGGGAAAAATTGCTTGTTGCTCCTTGCGGATTTGATAACTCTACCTGGGATCCATCCAAGGATAATTTTCTTCCAGTAAATTATAGTGCAGAGAACATGAGGGGAAAAGATGCATGCAAAGTTGCATTACAGCAGCAGGCAGGCTTATCTGAACATGCTTCTTTTATTCTGGTAAGTGTTTTATAATTATGTCATCCACAATCAACTTATGTCTCAATTTAATTGATTATCAGTTATTACTTGGTTATTGTGTAGCCATGTTTTGAAGATACCGAGAGACAGATTGTTACAAAGTACTTCTCTTCTCTAATGGTTAATTACAGAAAACTCCTAGCAGCCTACGAAAAACGTCCTTTTTATTTTTTTTTCTTTATATGCATTTTTTCATGTGAAATGTAATTTTTTGAATATTTAACTTCCTTCTCTACATAATTTTAGATCTTGATGCTAGATACATTGTCAACTGTTTGCATATATGATGAAAAATACACATTTTTTGTTTTATGCATGTGCATTGGTACAGTATATCCTCTAAGTTGTGCTAAATTTAAATGCAACTATGTTGCCACTTTAAGTGTTAGCATGTATATCTTCTGCAACCTAGATGCACTTATTTATTGTCTTACCCTTGCAAATGCAAAAGGTATAAATTAATGTGTAAAATGTTTTCTTTTTTCTTATCTTTCTTACCACCCCTTGAAACCTTGACATGTGACATAAGAAGTCTGTTACCTGATGCTCAAAGCCATCAAGGCATGAGGAGAGATGCTATCCATAAAATGTTCTAGAACTTTATATCTATTTGTATGGTAAAAAAAGAAGTTTTTATAGTTTTGCTTAACAATTTCATTCCTTCACATGTCTCATTTTTGTATTTTTTAACCAGACTTGAATTATTTCTAAGATGCTAAAAATGTATTTTTTGAGGTTGGATGCATCTTCTCAGAAGTGTCAGATTTTGAATTGGAGAAATTGAAGAAAGTTGTCTGGAATGCTACCAAAGGGGGTGCCCAGGTGTATATTCCTCTCCATAATTAAGTTCATTAGAAAGAGACAAAAAGAAAAGCATGGTTTTAGCACTGAATATTCTTAAAAAGTCTTATTAGCTGATGTTTTATAAGGATTTTTCTAGTTAACAAATTTTGTTTAATTAATTAGCAATAGTAGCTGTATCCTTCATTGCATTCATTTTTCTTTTTTGCCCCTTTTTTTTTAAAAAACATCGGGAGAATATTTAGGGTTACTACTAGAAATGGTGTTTATTTAGTTCATAGCTATACCAGGCTGTAGGGACTTTCTGTGAATTTTAACTAGTTTATATTTGTCCTCTTTCTTTTCTGCTTGATGTTTATCTGTCGACATGATAGCTTATTGCCCCGCCGCAGTTTGTCTTCATGGCGAATGGTGCAGTGCCAACTATCAATAGAGCACTCAGATCTTTTCAGGAAGAACTTGAGGTACAACCTTTGCTTCGTTGTAATTACCGTATAGCTTGACATCAGGCAACTCTTCATTTGTACATAATTTGCATTCAGACCAAGAAAAGCAAATGCAAAGTGCACTCTTAGTGCCTCAAGAAAGTTTCCCCTCATAACATGGAAGCAACTTCTTTTTTCTCGACTTCAATAAACTTTTTTTTTTGCATTATTAAACTGCTTAATTTTAATTTGATGATATGAAAACAAATTTTTCCCTCCCGTAGTTGTCCTCTGTCACTTCTGATAAGGTGTTTTTCTTTTCTCCTCCACACCCCGCCCCCCTCTTTTTTTTTTGCTGCTAATGATCTATTTTGATGCTGTCCTCCCTCCCCAGGATGGAAATGTGAAATTCTTTTACCGCTACGATGAAGTATTATCTCATTTGATGTTTGCAGGATCTGACATTATATTGTGTCAGTCCTTTGACGATCCTCTGCTTCAAGTTCCAGTAAGTTAAACACAATATCTACATGTAATGAAAAAGGTCAAATACGTTGTGAGAAAATACCAATGCTTACATGCAACCCATTTTAGTCACATTCCAAGCAACCTTCTATTCCAAGGTCTGGACATTGTAATATAACTTTTTGAGGAATGTCATACATCTATGAATAAACAGTTGTCTAGATTCACATGCTGAATATTCAAATTCAACCTAAACCTTTATCTTTGCTACTGAGTTCTGGCCTCCCAAATCTGCTACAGATTCTAAGCACCAGTGACCGCTTACATGTGAGGGAATTCAATGTGGTAGAAGGGGTATGAGTGTCTGTTTTGCAAGCAATCCTAATCTTCCATCACTTTCTCCTGTGTTGTCTATTGACAGTCTGTGGTGGACCTGTAGTTTACATCACTGAGAGATTCTTTACTCTGGCTGCAACCATCAGTTCTTTACATACGAATATGATGTAGGCATGTGCTACGTCTATACATATGGCTGCCTTGCTGTTGAATTTGTCTGTCCTCTAGAATGAACTTCCTTATTCTCAACAACTCTGTATCTTCTCTATGTATTGTCTAAAATACTTTCCCCCTGTTTGTTTGATTCTTAAAATGTAGCTCAAGGCTTTAAAATATGGAGCTGCTCCAGTTTCAATAACCTCCGGTGATCAGAACTTTAGGTAAGGCCGGGAACTGTTCAAAGAACTAACATACTTCTTGCTTCCTAATGAAGAGGAGAATGATAAGCATTTGTTTTCTGCAATATCTCAACAGATATTCTGCAGATCATGACCACGAGATCACCAGATTCTCACAGTTCATGAGATCTACCTTTGGAAATATGACCCTTAGCCAGGCCCTTGATGAAATTGTGAGTACCTACTTATGCGGTCATAAAATTTCCAGACTTTTCAGTTTCTCCATTTTATGTCGAAATTCTTTGTGAAGGATTTTGTTATGCAACTGAAGGCAAACTCTTTCAAAAAACTGTGTGGTTACTTGTCACTGTCCTTCTGCAGAATAATAACCCATCTACATGGAAAACAAAGATATCGGACGCCATGATGAGGGACTTCTCATGGGATGCAGAATGCTGTGACATTCATGTCTCAGCATACACCGCGGTCAAAAGTCTGTGACGCAGCTGTGAATGGGAATGTACATAATTATACGTGCATCCATGTCTCCATGCACGCAAGCCAAGCTTATTGAAACATGGAATAAATGATGTTGCCATCCATGAAGGTAGGTATCAAATAAATAGTAGTTTTTAGGAGGACAGTTGGGTAATAAGTGGTTTGAATCGTCATTTGTAAAGTTTCTGTCCAGTCCTAGTCGCAATTTCCACGCCCACTTGAGTGGCAGTTCTTGTAATTTGTATGTACATATTTTACAAGTTAAAAGGGTTGCCAGCCTGGCTGTACGTAGTGACTTGATAAATCAACTTTGGGGGATTGTGAAAGTTTTCCTCAAAATTTTCAAATAAACTTCATATTTTTTGTTGCTTACTTTATAAGAAATCCCGGAATTTTTTGTACGATGTGTCAAAAACTATTCTCTTCCTATCATTTTTATTGTTCGACTTTTATAAAATTTAAAAGATTTTTAATATATTTAAAATTAGTGATTAATGGTTTTTAATATCTAAAGATAAAAAAAATCATAAAAAAATAAATTTTAAATTTTAAAAAATTATAAATATTAAATGATATCAAAATTTACCCAATTATTCACTTCCAGATTTTTTATAAAAAAATTATTTAATAAATATTTATTATTTTCAATCCAAAATATAGATGTTTGAGATATACAAGTAGGCGAGAGAAAGAGTGAACTCGGAGAGGAGTAAGTTCCACAAAGAAGTATTTGTGTTGGAATTGACCATGTCCTAATGGAAATAGGATTCCAAACCTTTCTGTTTTTTCCTACCAAAGTGCAAACTTAAACATATGGGATAGAGATTTAAAACTGAGAAAACGTCAAACAACCTTATCTCTTGTTTCTCGCAGAACAATTTCCCTTAAAACTCTCTCACAACTCATAACCTGAGATGATCGGTAGTTAATTATCGTTACATATTAGTACAACTGAGAAAGACGAACATATGAAACAAAAAAACGAAGACATAAGATGAAGAAAATGGAAACAGGTGCGTTGAAAAAGCAGCGGGCCAGGCATGATTGCGTAACCAACGATTAGAAAGTAGCAGTAAAACGTCAATCAATTTTTATTATTTTCCTAAAATAAATTAAAAATTAGAATCTCTTTTTATGGCGTCACCTTCACCTTCTTCTACTCCTCCAAAAGCAGAGGAAAAAGAAAGTTCAGCTCAACAATCCAACGCCCAACCAGAAGCAATGGCTCGTTCCTCCTCTACCAAAGATCCTCCTCCGGCTCCTTCCTGGTTCACTCCCAAGCGGTAATTTTTTTTAAATAATAAAAATAATTAAACTTTACTTCTCTCTCTCTTTTTTTATTTGAATGGTTAATTATCAAGCTGTTTTATCCGGCAATTATGCTTGCATGCCGCTTTTGCTGAGAGCTTATTGCTTGCCGAGGCTGATTCTAACTGCAATTAGGGTTTCTAAGAAAAAAAGTTAGGTGAAGGTAGAACTTTTGTGTTGACTTTTTTTGAGAGAGATGCTAATTTCTAATTTATGATATTATGTTGTGTTTTTTGTAGGTTGTTGATTATATTTTGCGTAATTAACATGATAAATTATGTTGATCGAGGAGCGATAGCAAGCAATGGTGTTAATGGGAGTGCTAGGAGTTGTGATGATAAGGGAATTTGCACTTCCGGTAGTGGAATTCAGTAAGATTTTGACTCAAAGCGTTTGGTTTGTTTCGCTGCATAAATTCAGCTGTCATAAAATTTTGTTATTGCTTTTAATTGTCTTATCTAATGATATTTGCTTGCAGGGGGGAATTTCATTTAACTAATTTTGAAGATGGTCTGTTATCGTCTGCATTCATGGTTGGACTTCTCGTGGCATCCCCAATATTTGCTTCCTTAGCAAAGAGGTGAATTACCTTTGATTGTTCTTTTGTATTTGCCAAAAATCTTTTAAGTTTTTCAAAGTGGTGTTCTGGTTGTAGAACTGCCCTGTTAAATGCTAAAAGGAACCAGCTTTTAATTTTGAGGGTGCATCATTTTAATTTTGTAGTTATTGCAATTTATTGGCAGTTAATTATTACTCAATTTGGTTTATAATTTTCGTTGACTTTTATGATTGCAGCCATAACCCTTTTAGGCTTATTGGAGTTGGATTATCTGTTTGGACGTTAGCTGCAGCTGGATGTGGTAGTGCATTTTCTTTTTGGTTTATTGCAATATGCCGCATGTAAGTGTAACAATCCCAATACTTTCTGAGAGTTGATTTTATTTCAACTATCGCTTCGTTAGTTTCTTGTGCTATATTGTTTTTTAAATTGTCGCTGAGTCTTGATGTTTTAGGCTGGTTGGTGTTGGAGAAGCTTCTTTCATAAGTCTTGCAGCTCCATTTATTGATGACAATGCTCCTGTTTCTCAGGTTCATTTGCTTTATTTCTATTTTAACTTTAGAACTTAGAGCCACCTGAACTGTCAAGTCTTCTTCCCGGACTACATGATCATGCTAATTCTCTGTCATACTCCAGAAAACAGCTTGGCTTGCAATGTTTTATATGTGCATACCTTCTGGAGTTGCTCTTGGATATGTTTATGGTGGATTTGTAAGTTTGTATACCCTTTTCATTGTTTCTCACTTTATATGTTGGTTGTGTAATAAGGATGTGATATAATACTCCTAAATTGAATCGCTTGGTGGGGTCCCTCTGTACTGTCTAGACATAGCTGCAGGATGTTTAATAATTAATCACAAATTGCATTTGCTTAACATATAGGTTGGGGGCCATTTTAACTGGCGCTATGCATTCTGGGGAGAGGCCTTGTTGATGCTTCCATTTGCTGTTTTTGGCTTTGTGGTGAAACCTTTGCAGTTGAAAGGTAAATGTTTGGATGTGTGATCTGCAATCCAGAGTTTTGTATTTTATGACCCTACAACAATATAATCATTAAACTTTACTGAACGTTGAACCATAGGTTTTGCTCATGTTGAATCAAAGAAAGCATTGACATCTGTGGAGACCGTTTCTGCTGTAAATGACGGTACATGTTCCTTACCATTCTTCTTCTTGCATTAATTTGTCATTGGTTCCACTGTTTTTGTGAAAAGTTGCCTTCAATAGTGGGTGCTAAGCACCTGCTATGTATGTATGCATGTGTGGTAAGTCAAAAGTTTCAATAAGACCGGACAGATTAGAAAGGAAGTTTTAGGCCCTCCCCTTAATAAGTAATAGAGCTAGTTTTTAGCATAATCAGACAGGAACACAATTGCAAGGAAAAAAGGAAAAAAAAGCCTTACTCACCTGAAATAGATGATTTATTAATCTCATGAATCTCACTCCTGTTTTATTATCCAAATCTTTTACCTAAGGAGTGGTTCAGTATGTCTCTTGGGATGCAGCCAAAAAATAAAAGTAATGAAGGTTTTTATTAGTCTGTGCTAACTGGTTACAATGCCAATTCCTGGTCCATGCAGGAAGACAACAATCAAGGTTAAGTTCTTCTCTATATTCTATGATTAATATCTCTGGATGTGCTGTACAAACTGTGTGATTTTTCAATCCCTGAATATCTTTTGTTTTGCAGACAAAAGGTTCTTATATGGGACTGTAAATCTTGTTATTCCTTATCATCCATAGACATTTAGTTTTTCCGTACTCCTGTTACAGCACCTCTGGCGTGTTATTCCCAATGAATGATGTTTTCCTTGTGACCAAATATTTAAACCAGCATAGAGCATGTCTAAGAAGTGTTAACAAATGTGGTGATTACTAGGGATTTACATGTGATGAGTTGGTTCAGTTTCTTGCTAACTGATTTTAGGCAGGATCAAGTTGATTTGATTGAAACTGAGACAAGACTGTTGGTTTTAAAAACCCAAATGAAACTCAACTAAAACTTGTCGTTCGAGAAGAAAATAGGTCAAGAAATTTTTTGTATATACTACAAACATATGTTTTATTTCTCTCTCTCTCTCTCTCTCTGCACACACACAAAGATCAAAATCGAACCTAGAAGAAAAACCTAAATAAAACCAAAGCCAAATGATAAGTAAGTTAGTTTCTCGTAATAAGCTGGTCTGCCAAGTACAGTGCCTTTTTTTTATTCCAAAGCACTCTTGTTTTTAATAAGTCTAACCTTTCCTAGTTGCAGATTCAGAGGCATCAAAAGTAGATGGCCATATTTTGGTTGGAAGAGATGGTATTAGTGCAGATGACTTGAACACGCCTTGCAAGTGAGCAGTTCTTCAACCCATGGTTTTTGTTAAATCTTTCATTAGTTTATTTGTATCAGTATTCCTTATGATGGGGTAAACTGCTACAAAACAATGTTTACTTATAGACCTTTTTTGCAGTTAGAAATTTTATTAAAGAAAAGAGACATGAGTCATCAAACAGGAAAGATTTAAAAAGAATTATAATACATAATGTGTTAAGATTTTAGTTGTATTAAGAATCTGGGACGCATTAGAGCCATCAGCCTTCTCATCAATAGGCTTCTAGTCAGAAAGTGGGAGTGACTCCTATGACTTGGGAGCAAATGGAAGAGTTGGGTACACGGAAAAGTTAAAATATAGGTAATAGCCAATCTTGGGATGAGGAGTCCTTAATCTATGATATACTATCACTTGGCAGCAGGGAATATACTGATGTCCAATGTAATTGTGAAATTTGGCCTTGTGTCTCGGTTGAAACAATTGTATCTCATCCTGTATTACTGATTTTAAAAACATACCTAAACCAGGATTTACTTTTAGGGGTGTGTAAAAACTTTTGCTGTGAACTTTATTATTTCTGATTCATTCTGTTTGATATCCTGATTGTTTCTCCTTTCTTTTGCAGGTCAGTAGGCATATGCAACATTCGGAATCAGTTCTCTCGGTTTGCAAAAGACATGAAAGTGCTTTTGGTGGACAAAGTTTATGTTATAAATGTTTTGGGTATTTTCTTGACCCTTTTCACTTCCGGTGAATTAATGCTCTGAGAAAAAAAAATACCAATAAAATGCTATTTGAGTGTTTCAATTATTGTTACAATTTTGCATACAATTTTTGCTCCTGGATATTTCTAAGACAATAAAATGTGATTGTTTCTTTTATCATTAATTCATTGTAGCTAAGCTTGCATTTATTGCATATTAGTTCGGCTCGTGAAGAATTACTTAAGCAACATTATGTCTGGCAGGTTACATAGCATACAACTTTGTCATTGGAGCATACTCATATTGGGGGCCAAAGGCTGGTTATAATATCTATCATATGGTACACTTTCTGCTAAGTTACATGCATTCTGTTTTCTATTAAAATCTTTTCCTTTTAGCTTTTTTCTTTTTGACATCACAAAGAATCACAATTGTCCCTTGTTTTGGTGCTGCACTCATTCAAATTGTGATTTTTGCAGAAGAGTGCAGATATGATGTTTGGAGGGGTT